CAATTGTCAGCAATGGATCAGCAGTGCTATTCTGTAAATTTTCACGAAGACGAATCTATATGGGAAAGCGTTGATCAGCATCGGATTTGCGTGTGAAATTTTACAGAATAGGTCGAAATATATATCATTATGAAAACCGGCAATTAATGATTTTGCTTGAGCTATGTAATTTTAAGTAATTATTTCTTGTATTCTTATTCGTCAAAATGATAATTTGATCTGTAAATGGTATGTTTATGTATTCGTAGCAATCAGTCAATACTTTGTTAATGACACACCAACATAACATTTTTTGGAAAAACAAAGAGCTGTGTGCCGATTTTTATCAAAATCCTCTTAGTCGTTTCTGTGATAACACAAGTCTGCAAAAAAAATATAATTGGAAGCTGTTTTGGTTTTTTATCGTAATTCTTATGTTTTTGAATGTGCTGAATCCGAAAGTGATTTTTGTCGTAGAACGTCCCGTTTTATGACAATATCTATTCTAAACAAATTAACTTAAAATAAACGTTAAAAGACTATTTTTTTAAGTTATAATTGCGTAACAAAACTTATTTCTTTTATATAAACTTTATTCATTAGTAAGCAAAGCACTAAACAAATTTATTTTTCCCAGTGAGACTCCTTTTGATACATTTTCGCTTGTAGGAAGCATCTGGAAGGTCTCTCTAAAGCGTTTACAATCTGCTATCATTGAAACGCTCCATCATCCCTAGTATCTATTTTACATTCTTAACATTTTGGTGAAATCGTACACCTTGCTCTTCACTTACATTTTCTACATGTTCTGAAAAGTAGTCGAGGTGGGAATGAAAAGAAAAGGTTCTTTAAAACTTATTATGCAAAATAAAGCTTGAAAAGCTTTAGAAAAAGATCTGGAAAATTTGATATTAAGTATATCACAAATATAACAGAAACTGTTAGACGAATTCACACACTTCCATATAGGCGACATTGCACTAGTATATTGAACTAAGATCTGTATAACAATGTCGAGTTAACATATAATTATATCCCGTAACTTTTCACACTATTATAGCGTGCACTTTCAGGTTGCAATATAAAATATATAAGTTATAGTATTAATTTTTATTATTTTAAAGCATGTAACTGCTTGATGTTTAAATCTAAAGAAAATATAACTAGAAAAAATTCCACGCGGACCAGGCAGCAGACGGGACTCGAACCCGCACCCTTCGCAATCCGGGCGAATGCACTGACCAATTATTTTATATAAGTTATGTTAATTTAGCTCACACAGAGCGTTTTTTATTTAGACAGTAATGTTGGTTATGGCCGGTGTACATTTAAAACCAGTAATCAAAATAAAATTTTACCTATTTTTTATGCCTTCAAGTTAGCCCAAAATACCATTTTAATAATAAATGCATATTTGCGTTTTGCAAAATAACCTGACGGTCTAGATTTTTTGAGTATTTTTTTAGTTTTCAGAACACCTAAATACATATAAATCACTTGAAAACCAAAATATAAAATGAGTTTATAAAATGAATGATTTAAAATGGACTATTAATAAATTTAAAAAGTATATTACTATTGTTATCCATCCATACTAATATTATAAATGCGAACGTGTGTCTGTTTGTCTTTTACCTCTTCACGGTTAAACCACTGAACCGATTTACATGAAATTTGATATTGATATACATAGTTTGAGTCCCGGTAAAGGACGTAAGATTTTATCCCAGAAATAATCATTTAAAGGGGTAAAAATGGGGAGTGGAAATTTGTATGGGACACCAATTAAACTACGCTGACAAAGTCGAGGGAAACGACTAGTTCCTTATTACCTAATCAATGTAAACTGAGGGCAGCTATAGGTACTTATCTAAAAAACTTACAAAATTCTATGAACAGACAATTTTTAAAAACGTTTTATGACATACTATTATACACTCGAGAGCAATAAATCCGGGTCACATAAAGAATTTTAAATATCTAGCAAACTAAGTAGGCTAGCTTAATGAAATAAATTGTGTTTAATAGACAATTAAATACTCCTTAAATAAAAGTAATAAAATTTATGAGTCACCAAATTTACTTTACAAAAAATACATAAAGAAAAAACTGGCTGATCTTACAAAACAAAATAGTTAACATGTCATTTTTGAACAACATTACGATTTTCTTGAATTTTAATACTTCGTATTGCCTCCTCGTGTTTCCATTACTGCGTTTACCCAGTTTGGCATGCTGTACACCAAGTTTCTCATACAAATTTGGAGAATATTCTCCCATTCCTCTGTGAGAGCAATTTTGAGCTCACGAAGCGTAATTGGGAGAGGGTTTCGTTGTTTTACGCATCTCCCTAGCTCGTCCCAAGCATATTCGATGGGGTGATATCCAAGCTGCGTGCTGTTCAATCCATACGAATAATGTTCATCTCTTGAAGGTAATCATTCACAATCCAACCTGTATGAGGTCGGGCATTGTCATGCATAAAAAAAAAAGCATCCTCACCCAAATTGACCATAAATGAACCGACGTGGTCATTCAAGATTTCTTCCACATATCTTTCGCTAGTTAAAGAGCCGTTTTCTATGAACACCAGTTCTGTGCGACTCTCAAAAGAAATTCCGGCCCACACAAGTACAGACCCACCACAGTAGGATACTTTTTCTTCGATGCATGCTTGCTTGAATCTTTCCCCAGGTCTTTTATATACTCTGTGTTTTCCATCGTGCTTGTAGAGCATAAATTTTGATTCGTCGAAGAACATAACTTTTGACCAATCATCAATAGTCCAATTTAAGTGGTTCTGGGCATATCTTAGTCTACAAATACGATGACCATGCTCCAGTTTAGGGCCATTTGCAGATCTAAGTGGTTTCAAGCTAGCTTCAGTAAATTAAAACTGATTTGTAATTTAAGTTCCTGTGAGAAAGCGATTTCGAAGCATGGTGTTCACCAAGTACCGATCTTCTCGTGCTGTGGTACACCTGGTTCTGCCTGTTCCTGGTCTGCGTAGGTTAAAGCCAGTTTCCTCGTAACGTCGGAGAACTCTTTGTACGGTTGACAGTGATACACCGAAATTCCTGGCTGTATCGCGCTGACTCCGGCCGATTTCCAGCATTGTGAGAAGCAGCATTCTTTAGGTGTAAGCGACATGATTACAGCTTGAATAATTAATATTGAACGATATCGACATGGTTTATATGAATAATAAATGACAGATTAGAAACAAAAGCAAAAACAAACAAGCAATTAAGCTAGCATTCTTAGTTTGCGACATTTTTAGGATTCTTTAAGTGACCCGGATTCATTGCTCCCGAGTGTACTATTATGCATGGAAAAGTTTGAGTATTTTGCACAAATGTAGTTTATACTAGTGGCCGTTTGCGACTTCGTCCACGTTAATTTAACGTTTTTTGACAATCCTATAGGAATCTAACATGTTTCTGGTATAAAAAGTATCCTATGTCTCATTCCAAGTCATAAACTATATGCGTGCCAAATTTCATCTAAATGCTTTCAGACTTTTTGCGTGATTGAGTAACAAATATACTAACAAGGAGTACAGACCGCAAATCATTTTATCTAAAAATGCATAACTACCTAATTTAAATTAATAAAAACAAAATACCTAACACATACCACCACTTCTACTATTATATGTAAGGAAACCAACAACTTATATATTCAATTCTAAATAAGCAGTTCTTATAATAATAATTAGAGACGACACATCCGAACACTTGAAGGTATCAGCAGGATGCTCCCTGTCAACTCTCACATGATTCAGTCGGCTATACTTATTTTTGCGCAATTTAACATTTCCGGTTTAAATTAATTTTAATACAACGAACGATAAACTACTTTTAAACTTATAAAATAATGATTTGATTAATAATTTCGTCAAAATCAAATTGAACCTTATATATATTTAGCAGAAGAACATAAATAATTTAAATGGCCGAGCTTTAGGCAATAGGCGACCACTGGATTGATTAAACACTTGTACGCTTTCTTAAGGCCGTCTTTTTAATTTACATAATTTCAGTAAGGTTTCGTATCTATTAACATTCTATACATCTTATTTTGTAACAACTTGCGTGATCACAAGAAATCTTGTTAAATTAAAATAATCGTGCGATTAGAAACCGACTAAAGTGGTTTATTAATAAATTAGATGTCCATTTGAGCTATTTGAAATTTTCGAGACGAGGGACTTAACATTATAATATTATATGGGCGTCAATATTTCCTAGAAACTGGGTTAATAAATCACGTAAACCTATTAATTCATGCGGTTCGAGAGCCTGGGGAGTGAAGCTGCTTCTTGTTTTCTCGACAGCAGTGAGTACAATAGTATATCATAAACATATTTCGACTGATACTATTAAAATTACGTTACTTAAAAGAAACAAGTAAAATCTCTTCGCGCTTTTAAGAGGCAAAGCATCCCTATGGATAAAATCACAGCTTTGTAAATGGACCAGTTACTTTAAGTCTTTTCCCCTGACCTTTTCCATAACTAAAGGGGCAAGGGGCCTATAGTTAAGTTTCTTTCCCTCCCTACATCAAAAGGGACAGTTTAATTGAATATCTTGTCTATGTAACGATCTCGGAACACGCAAAGTCGCTCTTTCTTTATGCACACACACTTGTAAAGTCTTTTACGCTGACTGCTTAAATTATGAGCTTCTCAAACCAAAAAACTGCAGGTGTTAATAATTACGAACGTCAAAGATTTTTGATTTTGGTGAAGATATACATTTACGTTTTACATTTTTCCTATTCGAGACCTAAAGGAGAAGAAAAATATAAAATATTTGCAACTGTTTTTACAAATATTTTATAATAATATAATATTAAAATAATAATATAAACAAAGACGTCAATGTAAAGCTTGATAAGTGATCACCGTCGCCTATAGACATCTGCAACGCCTGGAATATGATATGAGAGATGTAAATGATGTTCTGATAATTGATCTATTAAAAATATATATTACTGTTAATCTGTCTCTTTTTCGTTAGGTTCTGTACTGCATTGAAAACGCCGTGGGCGCGCCCGCTCCCGATGGCCAGTTTGCGTCGTACAAGGAAGAGGTGGTCGAGTACGCGCGCCGCGCGTTCCGCGTGTCGCAGGAGGTGCACTCGCGGGCGATGCGTGCCGCTGGCAGCGAGCGACCTCCCACTGTGGTGCTCGGCTGCTCCGTCATCGAGGCAGATGGGCTGGAAGCCAAGGACGCTAACGGTTAGCTTCACCTTTTATAATTAAAAAACTGTGGTACTGTACTGCATCGAAAACGCTGTGTTCGCGCCTACGACCCAACGACCAGTTTGCGTCGTATGAGTACAAGGAGAAAGTGGTCGAATACGCGCGCCGCGCGTTCCGTGTGTCGCAGGAGATGCACTCGCGGGCGATGCGCGCCACTAGCAGCGACACATCTATCGGTTCATTTACTTATAACTTTCAACGGTCTGTAGCGAAATGTTATGTTAGGTTGAGCAATCTATACTAATATTATAAAGAGGAAAGATTTGTTTGTTTGTTTGTATAGAATAAACTCAGAAACTACTGGACCGACGCGAAAAATTCTTTCACGTTTAGAATCTTTCATTTGCCGTGATGAACATAGGCTATAGTGTATTTTCGAAACACTTAGGTTTCCGTATGAAAACTTCAATAATGTAACCCAACGTGTGTAAAAAATACCAAAAAATAACCATATATCGCGTACGCTGCTGAAGTCCTTGACAATAGAGCAAAGTGATGTACTAAAGTTTTAAATACCATATGTCTAACTATTACAGTTATGTCACAACGAGAGTGCCCCTGCGGTTGCACCCGCCTTAAATTGATCAAAAGGGTTGTAGTGAGTAAAACTTAAAATATGGACATATGCTTTCGCGGACTTTTACAGAACTTTTAAAGAGGAACAATTTCATACATGATTTTTGTGTAATTTTAACCGTTTACCCAGCGCACGCTACGGAATCTCACAAACGGAATATTTTTACCAGTTTTTGCAACATCTTTCATCGATGCTCCGATCTACTGGTCGTAGCCTGTCTGATGTTATATAGCTTATAGCCTTCCTTGATAAATGCACTATCCAATATAAAAAGATTTTTTCAAATTGGAACAGCAGAGCAATGGTGCATTCGGTACAACGAATCCTAAACTACGCAATAAATGTTTTACTTGGAATGGAAGGTTTATAATAACAATAATACACTTTATTGTAGTACACCACACAGGATACCAAAGAAACAAGACATGGCAGACAGAACGTACACAATATCGGCGGCCTAGAAATAAATAGATAGAATAAGATGAGAATAAGAAGGACCTCTATGTCCTCTATGTGTGACAGGAACAGTAGATAATAATAAAAGAAACAGATATATCAGGAAATGAAACATAAAAGTCAAAGAAAAAGTTGAACTTTAAGGTTGGGACAGGAAATAATTCCGAATTTATTCTCTAAACAAGTTCAGAGTGCGAGCCTTTCGATTTTTTTCCGGTAATGAGTTCCATAGACTTACAGAATGCACAGAGAAGGAATAGGAAAAGAAATCGGTTGTATGCTGTGGAATTTCAAGGGCAAGGTTAGAAGAACGCATAGTGCGTTGTCAAGTAGATGAAAGAAACGAGAAGCATTATTTTCAGTAATGTGGAGAAGTAGGTAGGAAAATTATGGAATAAAGGAGCGTAAGAGTGTGTAAGTTCCTGCGCCGTTGAATAGGGAGCCAATTAAGTTAAAAACGGAAGTGTGAGACATTGTCGTACTTACGGTGGTTAAAAATAAATCTAATACATAAATTCTGCAGACTTTCCAGTTTATTTAGGAATTCCTCGGTAAGATCAGTGTGACAGGCATGAGCATAGTCCAGGATAGATAGTACAAGAGTCTGCGCCAGAGTGATTTTCGGTGTCGGTGAAAACCCGTTTCGTTTTGAGATACACACAAATCAACGCGAGGACTTCGTTTTATAAAGTAAGAAGTACGTTATTTAGAAGGATACATAATTATGATAATTAAATTTCATCTAACTTTTGAAATCTTAAAAGGAAAATTTAATTAATTTAAGAAAGATCGACGAGCACAAAGGATTCGATTTAGAGCGGCCATCACGGAAATTACCTGTCTACGATCATAAAGGAGACTGCAGTTAATTATTCTTTTGAGAAGCTTTCTTGCAGTGAATATAGTTACAGGAGCTCCACTGAGTAAGGGCAAGAGGTCCGGTTAATTCTTTACCATCCCGTAAAACAATGATGTTTATATAAGTGTTCGGGTTGAAGGTTTTTACTTATCGTGTTCATTGAAAGATTATGACACACGGTAGCGTGTCAAGTTAGAGCTAACAGAACTGGCGAAGGCACCGTGTGAACGTGTGTGTGTACACGAACCATTTGGAGCCACTTTTGACCCTCTCATAATATTTCACATAAACATTTCAAATTTGTCTCATATATTGTGACTTACTGTAGCAATCCCGCTAAATAACAAAAAATACTTTATTATTACTCACCATGAAAATTTAAAATAAATTCTAGCAACAATAAAGGTTTAAGAATCTTCCAATGAAATATCCGAACGCTCAATAAAAGTCTTTCGAAGGTAGCTCGACAAAGTAAATAAAAATCATTTTTCAGATGATGCACACCTAAAGGGTGCGAAACGTCAATAAATAAATAAATTCAGTGCATAACCCGTAAAAACTGTTTTAATGAGTGATGTGCGTGAAATCCTTTCGTGTAATACATGTGTAATCAATTACCGGTTGAGCGATGCGAGCGGGTGAACGCTCAGTGGATCATTTACACAAAGCTTAAATCGCTGATTTTCAGTTTTGACCCAGAGAAATGAGGTCACGCGTTCAAATGATTAATAAAATCTGATGACAGTTTGGTATAACGGCAACGTTTTTCTCATTTCTAAAGTTCCTGGGTTAGAATTCTGGTGGGGATATTAGTTTGAGTGATGAGTTCTCACTTGTTGGTTATTTAAAAACTTTTAATAATATAAGTAGTGTATTTATAATCTATTATTTAGTTTCCATCAAATACACTCTAAGTAACTTTATAAACATTTCTGTGTAGGAACTTATCTGGAACGACTCGCTCGCAAGCCGCCACGCTATGCATACGCGCTCTGCATTGAGTTCGCGTCTCGTGTCCGCTATTCTTTGCCCGTGTTCGGCACGTGGCAATTTCCGTCGGTCGCCCTTTCGACCTTTCCCCCGAGCCCCGTAGCTCAGCCCGTCGCGAATCAATTTTCGACGCAGTTTTCACTGCGGGAATTGATTGAGAAGGTGGCAGTGTAGTGAAGTGTAGTGCAGTGTCGTCGCCTGGACTCTGTAAGTAGAGGTACTTACCCCGCGGCAGTCACTTTGTCGCGGGACTTAAGGATAGGAGACACACGCCTCCCTGTCACTCACGGCAGGGAGGGCTGACGCCCTCACAGACCCTCCCGTCACACACGCTCAGTCATGGCACCTGCGGTCATGGCTGAGGAGACCAGGTCGGAGTTGCTGAAACTTCAGCAATCCTGACCGGAATTTTATAGGTTTTTAAATGAGACATACGGTGGCCCCGATCTCGCGCCTTCCGCGCTTTCCACCCCGGGCCCGGTGCCTTCAGCGCAGCCCGTCCCCCGTCTCGCGCCTTTAGCGCAAACCACCCAAGTGCCTTCTGCACCATCCGCCTCCCGTCCCGCGCCCTCAGCGCAGAAACCCGCCGCTCCTCTGATCCATGAGGACACCCCGCTGTCCCCCGATGCATCTCCTTCTGAGATGCAGGTCGATGACGAGCGCTCGGAGGCTGACGACTCCGCGTTCGAGCTCGTCACCCGAAAGAGGGGAAAAAGGCCCCCCAAGGCCAAGATCTCCACGGAATCGTCCTCGAGATCCGATTCCGAGGAACGTAATCCCCCGCCGAAAGCCGCCAAAGCCGACAGTGGCTCCGCACGCCCTTTCTCGCCGCGACTCAGGCCTGCAGCCGTCCCGCGCTCCACCGGCCCTCCGCCTCCGATTTTTATCTAGGACTTTAAGTCCTGGAAAGTACTGACCGACAGACTCGAGTCTCTGTCGAAAGTACTGACCGACAGACACATAAATTACAAAGCGTGGCATTGTCGGACAATGCCACAACTGTTAGTTATACGGACACTCGGCCCGGTTCTGCTCGGTGCGTCAAGTGCACGCTCGACCACGGGGCGAAAGATTGCCCACGGCTGAGGGTCCCGGTATCTGAAAACCCGCCGGGCTGTGTTCTCTGCGGCGGCCAGCATACCGTGAACTACCGCGGCTGCCCTAAGGCCCCTCAGAGAGCAAAGACCGGCGCACAGTGGGTCGAAGTAATATGAGGGACATAGAGGTTTTTTTTGAAAAATCGTATTTTTTTGGATGCCGATCGATAGTTCTTCAGACCTGCTATATAATGTGGAATGTTATAAATCGTGAAACAGGCAAAGAAAGGTCACGTGACGATATTGTTGAACTTAAGTCGAATAACATTCTAATAAAATCTAAACAACATATCGCTAATATTTTTGATGAATATTTCGTTAATATTCCTTTGGTCTAATCTTTCTACATCTAATTTGAGTTCTTCATCGGTGGCTGCCAAGACATTGCTCGAGAAATATGTACCTAGGTGTGATAACGTGTTTCAGTTCAGACATATTAATTTTATTGATGTTATTAAGTGTTTTAAATCTCTTAAACAAAAAAATACAAGTGATTTATGGGGTATTTCTACTAAATTTATTAAAAGTATAATACCCGTTATTGCTCCTTATCTAGTTGATATATTTAATAACTGTATTGATCAAGGAGTATTTCCGGATTTAATGAAATACAGTAAAGTTATACCTCTTTTTAAATCAGGAAATAGAAATGACCCTGGAAACTATAGGCCTATATCAATATTACCGGTTCTTAGTAAAATATTTGAAAGAATTATTCTGGAACAATTGATGCCTCATTTCAACCTTAATAAACTTTTGCATAGGAAACAATTTGGTTTTACTAGAGGTAGATCTACTACTGATGCGGGTGTTGCACTTGTAAGGAGTATATTGGAGGCTTGGGAGAGGTCGCAGAATGTCCTTGGAGTGTTCCGCGACTTATCCAAAGCTTTTGATTGCGTTGATCATCACACGCTGTTATTGAAATTGAGTCATTATGGAGTCAAAGGTACTGCATATAAATTGATACAGTCGTACCTCAGTTCCAGAATACAAA